TAAATAAATCAATTTGAGAGAAAACATCTGTGCCTTTAAAAAATATGATGAAAATCTTCAATCCGAAGATTTGGATATCGATCAGGTATAATCTGCCTGGTTGATGGTAGCCCCTGCAAGGCCAATATGAACCATCCTTTTTATGTAACAAAGTGCTTGAGCACTTGGTGTTTGATGTACAAATTATTCCATTTTTAAGCATAAATTAAAATTCCTCTTTAGCTATTGCTAAGTTTTTTGGATTGAGCTGTCATGTCTTTGAATAAATGGGTTGACCATTAGTAATAATAAAATGTGTAACACTATGATTATAGGTTAGGTTTAGAAATTTCAGGATATTTTTTACAATAAAATGAAAACTTGGTACTTTTCCGTTTTGCCGGCGCAGGCGATAAAGTCGCCAATAATGGTACAATTGATGCCTAAGAGAATATCCTCGCTAGTAACCTTTTACGCATCATTTTCAAAACAAATCGCAGGCATTTCTTATCAGATTGATTATTTCTTTCACTACTGGCATACAATTACATAGAATTTTTATCAGACAGTTCAGTTTTATGCTTTAAGGCCATTCGCGGTAATAAGTGAATTAGGAGCACACACCGCTCACCCCGAAAATATAGAGGGTTATTCATTTCCGAAATTTTAAATTGAGTAACGTAAATTTCCATTCTTGAAAGTATTTGTGGTCGGTGTTATGCATGATATAATTAAAGAAAATAAGAGTAGACAATCTCCTATAACAAAAGAATATATTAAGTACTAAATTACAATTTAAATTACATTGCAGAGATCAACGCAGAGCTCGGAACACAGTTCATGCTACCGTCGCGTACAGTTGTCTGACGAGAAGTCTGAGTGAGTAATGACGTCGCTTTGCTGCTCCGATTAAGAACTGGATTTTACACGTGGCGCCATCTCATGAATAGAAGTTGAAGTATCTGTCGGAACGCCACAGTACTCCCCCCCCAAGTACCATCGGTACGTTATAAGTACTTTGGGTTAAATTTAACCTTTCTTCCAGATCTGGTAGTTTTAGGTTGCTCTTTAACGGGATGTAAGCTTTCTTCCGGGAGTGATGTTGATGAGGAAGTTGTTGGATCTTGCATTAGAAATGCTGGTTTGAGACGATCGATTCCAATCACTGATTGTTTGCCATTGCAGATGATGGTGAAATGTTTCGGTGTTCGTTTGACAACTTTGAATGGACCATCATATGAAGGTGTTAAAGTTGGCTTAATTGCATCGTTGCGCACGAATACGTGCGAAGATGTCTCAAGCGCAGGATGTACAAAATAGCTTGGCTGGTTATGCGAAGATGCTGGGGTTGGCGAGATATTGCTCATGGTCTCACGTAAACGTTGAAGGAATGTTGGAGGGTCGATAACTGGAGTAGATTCTGGGTGAAAGAATTCACCTGGCAGACGGAGGGTTGCACCATATAACATTTCAGCACAAGTGCTACCAATGTCTTCTTTGAATGCTGTGCGAAGACCAAGCAAGACTAGGGGTAAGGCTTCTGTCCAGTGTGTGCTACTGTGGCACTTCAGACCTTGTTTGAGAGATCGGTGAAAGCGTTCCACCATCCCATTTCCAGATGGATGGTATGGTGTTGTGCGAATATGGCGAATGCCAAGAAGAGAGGTGAGGGATGCGAACAAGTGACATTGAAATTGTCGGCCTTGGTCAGTAGTGATGGTGGTAGGCATGCCAAATCTTGAAAGCCACTGGGAGATGAATGCTCGAGCTACAGTTTCAGCGGATATATTTTCAATAGGAATGGCTTCAGGCCATCTTGTGTACCGATCAATACAAGTGAGGAGGTAAGTGTAACCATTTGAAGGAGGCAATGGGCCAACCAAGTCTAAGTGCACATGATCAAAGCGTCTTGCTGGAAGGTTAAATTGTTGAATGGGGCTGTGAGTGTGACGGGATACTTTACACCGTTGACATCTAATACATGAACGAGTCCATTCTGTGATGTCTTGATTCATTGCTGGCCAGACAAATCTGTCTGCGATCAGCTTTTTGGTGGCACGGATTCCAGGATGTGCCAAATTGTGCAAGGCATTAAACACTTCACGTCTAAAATTGACAGGAATATAGGGACGTATTCTATTGTTCTCTATGTCACAGTAAATTTTAAGCGTTGGATCAATGTGCAGCGGTTGTAACTGAAGGGAGGTTTGTGGATTTGAGATTAGGTTCTTGAGTTCCTCATCATGCAATTGAGCTTTTGCAATTTCAGAGAAATCTGGGGTAGTGAGGTTGATATTGTTTACCCGAGACAAGGCATCAGCGACACAATTATCAGTACCAGAGACATATCTGATATCTGTACTAAACTGGGCGATGAAATCCAGATGTCGAAGCTGACGAGGAGAACATGAGTCAGAGTTTTTTTCTTCTAAAAGCGAAGGTTAATGGTCGATGATCGGTGAAAATGATGAAGTCGTGTCCTTCCAAGTTGTGCCGGAAGTATTTAACAGCACAGTACACAGCAAGTAGCTCCCTGTCATATGTGCTGTATTTCCTTTCTGCAGTAGTAAGTTTTCTGGAGAAGAATGCCATTGGGGAAAGTCCTTTAGTGGTATGGGCTTGAAGCACTGCTCCTATGGCCGTGTCAGATGCATCTACCATTATAGAGAGCTGATCACTAGGTGAGTGATAAGAAAGTGTGGCTGCATTTGCCAGATCGTGTTTGCATTGCACGAATGCTGCAGATGCAGATTCAGTCCAAGGGACAGCTCGTTGATCGTTTTTTTTTTTTTTTGCTATTCTTCAGAAACTCATGTAGGCAGGCTTGTGTTTTTGCGGCATTTGGCAGAAAGCGTCGGTAGAAATTTAACATTGCTAGAAAACGCTTCAGTTCAGAGATGGTTTTGGGCTGAGGTAGGTCGTTAATTGCTTTGACTCTTTCCGGTAAAGGTTTGACTCCATTCTGGGTGATAAGACATCCAAGAAAGGAAACTGAGGGTTGACCAAGTACACATTTGGATGGATTTAGTTTTAATCCATGATCTTTAAGGCGAGTGAAAATCTGACGCAGATGTTGAAAATGTTCTTCCGCATCTGTAGATGCAACCAGGATATCATCAAAATATGGGATGCAGAAATCGAGGCCAGACAGTACTTGGTGTATGAAACGCTGAAATGTTTGGCCAGCATTGCGAAGGCCAAATGGCATATATAAGTACTCAAAGAGACCAAATGGTGTAGTCACTGCGGTCTTGGGCACATCTTCAGCATGCACTGGGATCTGATGATATGCTCTGGCAAGATCGAGGGTAGAAAATATGTTTTGTTCCATGAAAAAGATGGGTACAGTCTTGGATATGTGGGACTGGATATCTGTCAGGGACTGTGACGGCATTAAGTCGACGATAATCTCCACAAGGCCGCCAGTCACCATTAGACTTTTTAACCATGTGAAGTGGACTGGCCCATGGACTTTTAGATGGGCGAATGGTTCCCTGTGCTAGCATGAATTCAAATTCTTTGCGAGCAGCTTTTAGCATCTCTGGAGAAAGACGACGAGGCTTGGAAAATACAGGTGGGCCATGTGTTTCAATGTGATGATACACTTCTGGCTGATGAGTATGCTGCCCTGATTTGGATGGGTTTAAAATGTCAGGGAATTCTGCTAATAACCGATGAAACCGTGTGCTGCCCGATACAACACTTATGTTGGTAGGTACGTTCGATATGTGAGAAGCTTGGCCCTGTGATGTCAGCTGAGTTGTAGCATCAATTAAGCAATTATTCTTGACATCCACTAGAAGGTGGAAATGTGTCAAGAAGTCGACACCAATAATTGCTTGAGTTACATCCGCAATAATAAAAGGCCAGTTGAAAGTCCGGCGCAAGTTTAAATCAAGTGTCAATAGTTTGGTGCCGTAGGTTGCAATTTGGGTACCATTGGCTGCATACAGTACAAGTTTATTAAGTTGGTGAGCATTTGTTTTAGTTCTCGGGAGCACTGATATGTCAGCTCCAGTATCTACTAGAAAACATAACTGAGTTGAACGATCAGCCAGTACTATTCTGTCGATGTGGCGGACATTCTGTTGGCCAGCAGAAGACCGCCCATTTAGTTTCCCGCTTGTTCAAAAGTGCATGGAGGGGCACACTTGCGAGCTTGAGAGCCAAAATTCATATGATAAAAACATATGCCACTTGTGGGTTCTTTGTACTGCGTTCGAGTATTGTGACGAGATTGACTCCTGCTTCGGGCACGAAATTTATTACGTGGGCCCTGATTTGATCGATTGTATCTCCGTGAAGCATGAAGACTTGTAGAGAGTTCAGATACTTTTTTGGTCAATTCAGCCACTTGTTGTTCGAGGGATGAACTGGAAGGTGCAGAATTAGCAGCACTGACATAAGCTGGAGTAACAAGTTCATTAATTTTGTCAGCCATTGCTGCTAAACGGGTTAGATCTTCATTGGAAGCAGCAAGAATTATTTGTCAGATTATATCGTGTCAGATTAAAATTTTTAATGTGGCACTTATTTATATCTTTGCAATGTGTTTTATAATATATTATGAAAGTTTGAAATGAAAATTATGAAAACCTTCAAGAGCAGAAAGAGGGTCAAGTCTCATGCTCAGTTTATTGATGAGAGGGTTTGCATCATGAATGCCAGTGAAGAAAGAGCAAAAAGTAAGAAAAATAACTTAATTTTAGAAAGAAGAAATTTAACTTAGATAAATAAATCTAACTTCGAAAAATATAACTTAGAAATTAACTTAGATAAAATCTACCATAAAAAGATAAATAACTTCATTTTACTTTCGAATATTAATAATAAGCTGCGAATTTTGATAATGAGTTGTGCAAAAGTTCAAAACGCTTAATCTTTGGAAGTTTTGAACGTGAAATAGTGAATCGGAACGCTGTTGGAACAAAAATAAATGGAAACAAATATATGTTAAACGAATATTTATTTTTAAACTCTGCAAAAGAAATAGAGTAGTCTTGTTTGATTTTCCAAACTTTTCTAAATGGTTATTCATTCATTAGAACGAGGTTTTTCAGCATAGCATGCTGTCCACGTTTGATTGCCTTCTACAACTCTTTTAATTTTAGCTGTCCATCCATCTTCCAAGTACCTATAATCGTCTTCGGTAAACTCCTGGAAAAGTAATTAAAAGAAGGAAATAGTTATTTTCAGTTTATTAATCTGATTATGAAATCATGTACTGAAATCGCGCAGTTTTAATAATATCGTATCCAAATAACACAGAGTTTTCCATTAAAAACGTAAACCAGTGTAATTCAACTTTCGATTAATTTGTATGCATCAAGCATCCTATAATGTTATCATCAAGTGTGCATATTTACGGGATATAACTTCTATCAATACAAAGCTAAAAGATCTGGACTGATGTCAGCAGTAAAACTTGAAAACTGCGAAAAAAATTAATTTGGAACGAAAATTTGAAAACCTGAATTAGAAAAAGTTAAATTTTATTTTCGTTTCAACACTATTGTTATTACTATTTAAAAAAATGATTGCAGGAGCATACTTTTATTTCTTTTATATTTCAGTCTTCATATTGGCTTATGTGAAGGAAAAGTTTTAAATAAAGCCCAGAGAAAAAGAATCTTTGAAAATTAGCTTCAAGACATGTAAATTTCACATTCGCACTAAAAATTTTCTCATTCGTGACTGATAATTTACAATTATCGTTTTATCATTTCCTAAAAACTGCATGAAAATTTAGAAGTTAAGTATGTTCTGAGTTGTTAATAGATTGTTGCTAGCAAATAATTTCTTAGTTTCATTTAGCAGTACATTTAGCGGAATAAGCTAAAATTGCATAAATTAAGGCACAATTGGAAAATGAGGAAAAAAATTATCCTAAAAACAATACGATCATAACAAAATTTCATTCTGCGTCCAATAAAGAAATGTGGCATATACACACACACACCTGAAGAGTAGCTGAATTAGAGATAGCTGGTGTTACGCAAATTTTGAGCTGCGCGCAAGCCCGGAAAGTGACTTGCAAATGACGTAAGCAACAATTTGACAAGACAAGGAGCGCTGCTCACGGTATCAGTAATAATAAATAATAAAATGGGTAATACTGTGGATTTAAACCCATTTGATCGCATTTAAATCGTCGGGGCCCGATGATTTATCTACGAATGGGTCACTCCATTTTGGAAGACGACCGAGTCACTCCATTTTTGGAAGTAGTGCAGATATTCGGGTTCTCACTCACCACTGTGTGTCGAGGCCGTACAGTGAGTACGTCGATTCCAGTAAAGCCGTCCCTGCCAGGTCAACTGCCACGGGCAACAGCGTTAGAATACCGAAATCTCGTCGGCTACCCCGCATAACAACAGCTGATAGACAGGCCACAGTGCCTCCCGTCACAGATCACCCGTCCAGCTACATGTCATTGTCCTACGACAGTCCCTCTGCTGATTTCACAAAACATGGCGCAATGATTACCGTTGAATACCGTTACCTCAACTGTCCATTGGCGAAGTTGCATGGACACGGCAACTTCGCCAATGGACCGTTGAGGTGTGAAAAAGTGTACCCTGGAGTGATGAATCGAGATTCACTGTACTACTATATGCCAATGGCAGAGTACGTGGACGACGTAAAACACATGAAGCAATGGACTCTTCCTGCCAGCAGGAGACTCTACAAGCTGGTATTTTTGTATGAGGAGTGTTCACATGGACTGAAATGGGATCACTAGTACATGTTATCAGGTTCAATGTTCCTTCTAACCTTCTTCGGGAACATACAAGGACCTGACTCGGAACAGAGAGCTTACTAAAGCTATGTTCACTAATTGTGGTAAGTAGACAGGATACAGACGAAGGGTATACAAAACCCTTTATTTTTCTCTATATACAATAACTTCCGTACTTCGGAATACACTGACCCTCCACTCGGGGTCTAACGTAAAAAAAAATATAAAAATAAAACTAAACTCTAATTTAACTTTAGAATAATACACGTGGAAGATTGGCCTTATATAACAGGAAGCGTATGTAGCACAGAGACTGTGAACACTACAATACGTTTAATTTATCAAGAGGATTAAAACCTCTGGCCTGGAAGGCGAACAGCAACTGCGTAACTTCTAAGGTAAGCGGCCTGCGTTGACTTAACTGCTTCCCTCTCTCTCGCTTGGCAAAAAGGTCCACACTTAAATACTTGGCGTTCGCCAGACAAACTTTGCATAAAATCCTTCACGCTTATAATTCTGGCCGGAAGTAGAAAATAAGAAGTGATAGTAAAGATTTAAAATAAAATAAACGTTAGTAAAACTTAAGATCCTTACATACTTCCCGCCAGAGTTAATTAGTTTGGAAACTGAGGTCTAAAACGACCTTGTTGAAAACTTTTAGCTCTAGAAACTAACGCGAGGCCAATCTTTTACAAACATACTTCTCTAGAAACTAGAAAATTTAAAAGAAAGAAAGTTTTTACAATAGCAGCTCCCAGGATATACAACAATCTTTTTTTCATCTGTACTGCATCTAAACAGGAGCTTTATTCAATTCTGGTTCCTTCCAGAGATCTGGAAGGAAAACTAGTTTAATGAAATGTTACAGAATGACATTGCAAATAACATATAGAATATACTTCTCTTAACATTCTTATTTCATTCATGACTATTTTAATTATCTCTCCCCGTGCTCTCTGACATGTGTTGTAAAAGAACACCAAACACGAATGTGTTTCTGTCTACGTGTCCCACACTTCCTCCTACAATCAAAACACTAACGTGTTAAAATTCAACATAACGAGGACCTCTTAACACACCCTACTTTCAACTCTAAACCCTGAGGTACTATTCTAAAAGTGGCTAACTCTAAAGTGTAGCGTCAGAGAGCCTAACTACATCATTCAACCTTTAACACATATTCACCATGATTTAATCTTTACAGTCACACGAATAACAAATTTTTAACATTACTTTCACTTTTACCATATCACGGTATTTCTTAACATTTAAATAACAGTTCACATGTATATAAGAACATATCAACATGCCGTTAATTTTACACATTTGAAAACATACATTAGTAGTACATTGTTAACTTCTATTCTTTTCAAAGCAAGTGCCAATTCTTCCTACATTGAAATAATACTACATTTCAAAAAGTCTTTCAGACTAAAACTTCTTTCTTGCTAGAATGTTTTAAATAAAATTTATACAATAACTTTTTACAATATTTAAGTCTTTACACAACGCTATTATACATCAACTTTAGTTTTACGCACGAGTAATTTAAAAACATAATACGAAAATCGGTCACAACTCATTTCTCGCCCTTTTGGCGATAAAGGTAGACCTCGCATGAGGTAAAACTTCTTGAAATCTGCCACTTGCAGTAAGAATGAAAGATTAACTTAAGTTTGCAAAGTAACATAAAATTTTACTTATCTTTGTAATATTCGGACATCCTTTTCTGGGCCCAGTCTTTAAAGGTACTGCAGATAGTAGCTTGGTTTATCCTCCTTCTTGTACGGGCTCGCCCTTCAGTGCTTTCCTCTGGAAGCTTCCTTTTTTCACCAGTACGGCCACCCTTGAATACTTTCCTTTTCTCCTCTGCTTGTGGTCTTTTTGCCGTTTGATGGCAGCTGGTCTTGGCGGAACCGGGAAACTTCTGTCGTGATCCTGCTTGGACCTCGTTGTTGGCCGTTCAAATTTTTCTTGTACTTTTTCCTCCGCCGCTGATGGCCCTTCCGCAGTTCGGCGACTTTTGCTGCGGAGAGTTCTGTCGGATGAGTAGATCTTCCGTTTTAAGCCGGGTTATAGTTGCCGTCATTTCTCCTGGTCCTCTTCACATACGTCGTCCTTCTCCCTTCTTCATTCTGGGGGTGTTCGTGAACTCTGTTTTCTGGACGGTGGAACGGCTTCTTTTTCTTGTTACCTTCCAATTTTTCCGCGGGGCAATTTTCTTTTCACTTGCTTCCTGTCTCTCATTGGCTTGCCCTTGTACTTGTCGTTTTCCCACCTCTGGAAGTTGTACCTGCGGTGTCTGCCGTACCGGATCCTGCAAAAGATCTGAAAAGATTTGCATTTTATTACGATCATAGAATGGTTTTATCTGGTCAATGTTTGCGGAACAGTTTTCACCATTTCTTGGCTTTTAATACTACCACTACAGCGTGAGTTATTTTTTCTATAACATATGGTCCTTCAAATCGTGGAAAAAATTTGGCAGTTTTATCTTCTGGTGCTGAAGAAAGTGAATGCTTAATTTTTAGTACTTCATCCCCTACTTTATAAGTTACTCCCCGTCGTTTCAAGTCATAATACAATTTTTTGTTTTCTTTGTGCTACTTCCGTATTCTTTTTTGCTTCTTTTAATTAGTTTTTCTATATCACCCATTTTAAATTCTGGGGCTCTTTGTTGCACATAAAATAGTTTATCTAACGGTGTTATAACCTTTCTGCCTAGAAATAACTCAGCAGGAGTTTTGCCCGTTGTATCATGTTTTGCGGTCCTAAGGGCGAAAGCAAATTCATTGACATAGTTATCCCAGCTTTTATGAAAATTTTTAACATAACTACGGATAATTTTCACTATATTTCTGTTGACCCGTTCCGCTATATTTGATTGCGGCCGATACGGGACCATTTTTAAATGACGTATGCCCAGTTTTTGGCACATGTCTTCAAATATATTACTTACAAATTGAGGACCATTATCCGATATAACTTTTAGGGGCGCCCCGTATTTTAAAATATATTTATTTAAAATAGAATCGGTAACTAATTTCGCGGAGGCTCGTTTTAAGGGAACAATTTCGGTCCATTTACTAAAATGATCAACCATAACAAGGAGATAGCGACTTTTATTTAACTGACTTTTTGGGAAAGGGCCCAATAAATCGATGCCAATTATTTCATTTGGAAATTCGGATTTAATACTATTTAGAAACCCGGCCGGGCGGAAATTAATATAATTAACTGCTTGACATGTTGGGCAGGACTGGACATACGCCCTTGTTAACTTTTGCAGTTCAGGAAAGTAGACTGGCTCGCGTACGCGTTGGATAGTTTTTCGAATACCAGCATGAGAAGCTAAAGGGCTGTCATGGAGCTCATGCAGGATATTTAATCTAAGACTAGCTGGGATAACAGGTCGAAATTCGTTGTTGGAATTCGTAGTTTTTGTGTATAAAATAATAGACCATCTATTAGTTCGTAATGGGCCGCCCTATTTCTTATCGCCACAATATCTTGGTGGCTAAAATTTTCAGGATCCTTCAAATACTCATAAATACTTCCAAACTCAGGATCCTTACCCAGTTCTGGTTATTACAGTTTCTCGGGAATTTATTGTACACGCTGTGAGCATTGCAACTTTTACGGTATTACCCTGTTCGTCTAATTTAATTCGTGATAGGGCATCTGCTACGATATTTTCCTTTCCGGGGGTATGCTTGATTACCAGATTATATTCTTGCAGCTTGAGTGCCCATCTTATTAACCTTGGGGATAAATTTTTCCCTGAGTACAATCTGGTTACCGCCGCATGATCAGAGTATACTGTTATCGGCGCCTTTCCAAAATAGACTCGGAACTTTTGCACTGCTAACAGAACTGCAAGTGCCTCTCTCTCGGTCGCGGAATAGTTTCTTTGTGTTTGATTTAAAGTTCGGCTAAAAAATGCCACGGGCTGCTGATTTTGCGAAAGTACCGCTCCTACCGCATAATCCGAAGCATCCGCTGAAATTTCTAAATTTTTCATCCTTTTCAGGAAATTTTAACACAGGGGCTTGCGTTAATGCTTGTTTTTTAATTTTTCGAAAGCACTATTGGCTTCGGCCGTCCACGAGAATCTTGCCTTTTTCCTTTTTAATTTTAACAATGGCTCAGCGATAGCCGCAAAATCTTTTATAAAGGACCTATAATATGAACAAAGTCCTAGAAAAGAAGAGAGCTTCTTTGCCGTGTTTGGAGACGGATACTTTTGTACAGCGATTATTTTTGATTCATCTGTCTCGATCCCTTTTTGAGATATTTTGTAACCTAAATATTTTAATTCAGGGGCTGCAAATTTGCACTTTTCGACATTAACTTTTAGACCGGCCTCATTTAATAAAGAAAACACCTGTCTTAAATCCTGTACATGTTGGTCTAGATTATCACTAGTAATAATGATATCGTCTAAATAGATAAATGTGGACTTTCCAAGAACAGGTCTTAACACAATGTCCATGCATCGCTGAAATGTTGCCGGGGGCCCCTGAAATGGCCAAACGGCATACGCAAAAATGCATAAGTGCCAGACTTGGTTATAAAAGCAGTCTTAGGCACGTCCTCAGGCCTCACCCCTATTTGAAAATAACCAGTCGTTAAGTCTAAAGTCGTCATAAATTTGGTTGATTTTATGTTCCTTAAAATTTCTTCTAATGAATCGGTAACGGATATACCGGATATTTCGTTATGGAATTTAATTTACGGTAATCAATAGCGAATCTCCACCTTTTTGGATGCTCCAAAGGATAATCATTATTTTTCTTACATAAAACCACCGGGCTAGCATAACTACTTGAGATGGACGTTATGATCTTTTTACGTAGCATATCGGTAATATGCCATTCTATAATTTTTTCCTTATTCTTATCATACCGGTATGGTTTTTGACGAACTGGCAATGCATCTCCGGTGTCAATACTATGGTTAGTAACCTGAGTAAATCCTGGAATATCACTAAATAACGAAGCAAATTCACTTACCACTTGTCGGATTCTATCTTGCTCGTCATTAGGCAGGTGGTCAAGATTTAACCTTGGGCGGTTCAACCTTTTCTACACGCAACTGGTTTCATTGTCAGCTTAAGGGACGCTTCATTAAAATCCAGTGTAGCTTGTGCGCCTGAAAGAAAATCTATTCCTAGGATCAAATGTGCTTGCAGATTCTTTACTATAAAAAACATCACCTTTACTTGTTCGTCCTTGATACGGATATACAAAGGTACTTTACCTACGCACTTACATTGTTCTCCTTGCGCCGCTAATACTGTCGTATTATCCGCAATTATATATGCGGTATTTGCGAAAATACTTTCTAAAAAAGACTTCTGCCACACAGGAACACTGCGCGCCGGTATCCAGGAGTGCGGTGGCCGGGATATTATTCACCAAGACTTCAATCTTCGGAAGAGTCAAATTTTTCACCATTACTGTATTTAACTTGTAGGAAGAGGGGTTTTCGTGGCCTTCGGATTTCCGCACCCTCTCGTCAGCAGAAATCCGTTTTAGTTCCGTTAAATTATTTTTCCTTTCCGTGCTTTCCTTCTTTTTCCCCTGGCCTTGAGACTTTTTTCCTGGGTTGCTATTGAACTGTCGACGTTCGCCGGCTGTTTTTGAATGCTCGGGTTTCCTTGCCCACTGATTCGCTTTTTCTCTCCGTAGCCGTATGCTTGAGTTTGCTGTAGTCTTGGCGTACCAAATTGGTTTCGCTGTTGATATTGGCGTCTTCTTTCGACGTCCGCCGTTCTTCTACTTTCAAACTGGATTGCTAGCTCAAATAACTTTTCCAGTGTAGTCGGATTTCTTAATTCAATAAAGTCTTGCACTTGGGGTAGTAACCTCGGCAAAATCACTTGAATTATTTCAGGATCCGGACGGTTTCCATACAAGAGCTTGAAAACGTGAATTTTTCTTAAAATAAAGCTCGAGAGGTTTTCGATTCTTTGTTGATATATGCTGAAAAGTTCCGTTTCTAATTTCGCACGATCCCTTACAACAGGGAAAAGGCTTTTAATAGGGCAATCTTGAAATTTTCGTAAGTATAGGTGGGACTTCCTGCTTGACCCAAGAGACTTCTGCCTATACATTTGAACCAGTTAAGCGCTTGGCCCCTCAAAGCGCTGGTAGCTAAGGTAACTTTTTGAAATTCGTGCACGGGATAGAGCATGAAGTGGTCATCCAATTTTTCCAAAAAACTGGTTACCGGTGAGTTTCCGTTAAACGTTGCTTCTGGTTTCATCGAAGCGCGCATGGTCTGGACGATGTAACCGAATCCTTCCAGGGCGGCAGCTGGCATTTCTGGATTCTGAGCCGTTTCTGCAGGCAGCACAGGTTCTTCTTGAAACTCGGCCATGGTTATTCTTCTTCGTTGGGCGCCACTATCAGGTTCAATGTTCCTTCTAACCTTCTTCGGGAACATACAAGGACCTGACTCGGAACAGAGAGCTTACTAAAGCTATGTTCACTAATTGTGGTAAGTAGACAGGATACAGACGAAGGGTATACAAAACCCTTTATTTTTTCTCTATATACAATAACTTCCGTACTTCGGAATACACTGACCCTCCACTCGGGGTCTAACGTAAAAAGAATATAAAAATAAAACTAAACTCTAATTTAACTTTAGAATAATACACGTGGAAGATTGGCCTTATAATAACAGGAAGCGTATGTAGCACAGAGACTGTGAACACTACAATACGTTTATTTTATCAAGAGGATTAAAAACTGTGGCCTGGAAGGCGAACAGCAACTGCGTAACTTCTAAGGTAAGCGGCCTGCGTTGACTTACTGCTTCCTCTCTCTCGCTTGGCAAAAAGGCCACACTTAAATACTTGGCGTTCGCCAGACAAACTTTGCATAAAATCCTTCACGCTTATAATTCTGGCCGGAAGTAGAAAATAAGAAGTGATAGTAAAGATTTAAATTAAAATAAACGTTAGTAAAACTTAAGATCCTTACAATGTCATATTGTCTCTCACAGGTAAAAGTAACCTGCATGTCATTAACGACAATCTGCTCTCACATGTTCGTTTTCGGCAGGCCAGTATAAAGATTATCTTTCAACAAGACAATGCATCATGTCATCGCTATCGAATTATATCGGAAAAATTGGGTGAACATTCAACAGACCTGCACATGCTTTCCTGGCCATCAAGGTCACCTGACCTCAATCCTATCGAGAACATCTGGGATGAGTTGAGAGAGATGTTCGAGGCTCTGACCACCTTCCATCTAATCTTCGTGAATTGTGGATACGTATGACTTCCCATCGCTTCCAGTGTCTTGTCGAATCCATACCAAGACGAGTCGCAGACGTCATCAAAACAAAAGGTGATGCTGCGCGCTACGAGACAGGTATCCCTAATTCAATTACTCTTCATTGTGTATATATATATATATATATATATATATATACAATGAAGTATATATACATATATAATGAAAGATAAAAGTATGCAAAGCAAACTACTGATTCTGAGTTTAATTGTAAGCAGCCCTTATATTCTTCATTTTAATTTGGGTATTTTCCTTTTTCTCTCCTAAAAATGGTAATATAACCAAGATATTTCGAAGAATAAAATTTATACCATATAAAGCAAAAAGCAAGCTATCATAAACTAAGTGAATATGCATATGGTTCTATTTGCACCTCATGAAAACTTAACAGTAAAAAACCGTGTAACCAAACGCTAGGAAACCGTCTCCATTTTCTGCAGCGCCATTGTAGCAGACGATTTAAAAAAAAACTAATAACTCAAACTTTAGGTTGAGTTTCGGCGAATTTTTGCATGGTCATAACTTTCCCCCTTGTCCCCGAGTAAATTTCTTTTGTGTCTTAATTAAATTTGTTTTGTTAAATGTACAAAGTTTATTTTTAAACTTTAAAATAAACTTTATTAAAATTTATTAATTTATTAAATTTTGTCAGCTGCTTATAATGTTCAGCTATCTTATAAAACAACGTTACAGATAAAAAAACTGGCAGCCCAATTATGGGCCTTGAAAATTTAAAATTATTCAAAAATAAAAAGTCATGATTTTTACCGAAAACCGAGCTCACTTTTTCTTTTAGATTTTCATGCTTTAAATGAAGAATATCATCAAGCTGGGGATATGAAAAATTTTGATTTTTGCTACCTTGGTAATAAATAGCCACTGCGACATATGAAGGATTAGTCCAATGCCCTTGGTTTTACTGTAAAGCAACTATGCAGTAACAAGGAGATTTATTTTATGTAAAGTTTAACATAGAGTGAGAATTTATTTACTTTTATAAATCAAAGTAAATAGATTCTCACTCTATGTTAATATACTCTAAATAAGAATAAAAAAGAAATGAATCAACAGAAGGGAATGTCATTAAAGCTTAAAGAAACTGCATCAGATAAACCAAAGAATAAATACGGAAATTCTCCAGATCCTAAATTCAATCTTATTAGGCTCAATTATTGTCGCTTAGAAAAGAACTATGAAAATCTTCTAAAAGCCTGTAAAGAAATGGAGCAGCGCATCTAAGGCTTGGAAGATGAAAAGCAAAACCTTGAAGATGAAATGGACGAAATGGCATCAGAAATGAAAGGCTCTGGTTCTACTACAAATGATTGTTCTAATGAACTTTTTAATACTCTCATAGAATCAGAAGAAGTTAAGAAACAAATTTCAAATTTAGAAGGGAAAATAAATTGCTGAAAAGTGTGTTATAGAAAGTGCAGTCATCTAGCAAAATTCATGAAGATAAAGAAAATAGTAATTCCAAATATGGAGTTAAGTTGCCTTCTAACAATTCTGAGACTTCAAAATTTTAACTTTCAAAGCTGCTTTTACAGTAGATTGAATCTGGTATTGTAATTTTGGAAGTGGAAAAGTTTACTGCTAGAATTCAAGAGTTGGTTCGAACCTGGTTTACGTAATACTTCTGCATATGCGGCAGCTTGTATCTAATCGCAGATCCAAAATTTATATATATATATATATAAGTTTATAAATACCACTTTTACTACAGCGTACTGTGCATTCGGAGGGGAGAAAAGAACGAGTAGGACGTCGTAGAGATTGCGTCTGCCACAATATCTGGTTTCTGTGTTCGTCCGATTTCACGGTTCACCGAGCACGATCACGTATTTCGACTCATCAATTGATATGCTTGGCTGCTCAGTAAATAATTACCATATGTCTTGCCTCATTGCTATATATTGCTTATATTAATAATATTTAAGAGTTACTTAAATTATATTTTATTTTGCGCGTTATTTTTTGGTCATTGGTTGATTGGTACGCATAGTTACCCTCAAGCTTGCACCAGTCCCGGATCTAGCGGGTACAAGCCGGGGTTCTTGACTCGGGCGGCAACTTTTGAGGGCGGCAAATTCAAATATAACGCTGGTTCGTTTTGGTATGTTGTTCACTAAAACAGCTCTCTAATTTTAGTACAATGTTAATAGTTTTAAGGCCAAGTTTAAAAACCTCTTTTAAGAAGATTTGTAATTAAATACTAAGAACCCTTTTAAAGAAACATGAGTTAAAATAAAGTATAGCCGATTACAACTATAAATACAAGATCAGAAAAAGGCCAATAGAGGTACTCCAGGCGTCACTGAAAGAATCAGACTGACCCTATCAGTAACATTTGGAGTCTCTGTATCATTTGCTGTCTAGGCCGGGCGTATTCAAACAATAAATAGAACGATAGATAGAAGAAGTCACCTAGTTCCCATAGCAACGTCTGCTGGGAAATGGAGAAGCATTGTAACAATTTTTAAGAGCTAACCCAAAAAATTAACTTTGAGCCATCCTGGATAAATGAAATAATTTAAATTAATATTCATCGAGTATATATGTTACGGTGAAACACCGAAATCTGAAGAATGTCGACTTTCACCGGTGAATGTCGACTTTCACCGGTGAATGTCAACATTCACATAGTCGCTTGGTGTATGTCCGAAATATTTTCCAAATACTTTTATTTCTGACTTACACCGGTGAATGTCGACATTTACCATGTACTAATGGTGAATGTTGAACATATAAGAATATTATATTTCCTTCTCCGTAATTCATTCGCGAAAAAACGCACTTGAGACTCAGAATAAGAACTTAAGAACATAAGAACTTAAAACACACAGTACATTCAAAATGAGAAAGGAAAATAATAGAAGTTATAAACTTACCAAATTATGTGATTCAAATCTTATTTATTGCAACAACTTAAACTATTATGACACTTTGAATTGCACAAGAGGCCCTTGCTTTTACAACTGCATTTATTTGTGGAACACTTCCTTTTGGAATGGCAGCGTGTACATATACTACTCCTCTCTTTTCGACCTACACCAGATTGTCGACATACACCGGTGAGGGTCCGAATGTACAAGAATGTAAAGAAATATTCGATCTTTCACCGACGTATTTGGTGAATGTTGACATTCTCCGGTGAATGTAGACATTCTCCAATTTCGGTCTTTCACGGTAACATATACAAGACACAGATATTATGTCTTCAAGCTGAAGCAAGGCATTTAGATTTTTTTGCAGCCAGTTGGCAATTTAGGCTCACCTTTGGTTTGACTTGGAACGGTGGAGCGCATGTTGGATTTTAAAGCTAGATTTATTATTTCTATGGTTTTTTTTTCCAGGTCTCTTCTGCACTCTTTTTTAAGATATGCTTGCTTTTGATAGCCCGCACTATATTTAGCGACACACGACCATTTACTTAGGACTGTTCAGTGTAATTATGTCATTTCTTAGTTATTCTTATTAAGGCAATCATTCTTATTAAGGCATTCATAGTGAATTTCATTTAGATTAAAAGAAACCATCTGCTCGTCGAGGGGGAGAAAAGCGGAATACAGAAAACGAGCCAAAGATAAGGCCAAACAGAGAAACAAATTTCAGCTAAGATGAAGAAATAACTTCACGGAAGAAGTAAACCGTGAGATCCCGCCGCAATTCCGATTGTGCTGAGATTCTAGAGGGAATTAATATTTCTAGCAATTTGCACGACCAAAAATGACTGCATATATCATCCCCTCATCCCCAAACAATCTACAAGTCAGCATTTGAAAGAATAAACTTCTTCATCGACATCAAACGAATAGCTGGAGGATATGAAACCATGATATAAGATTTCTTCATTTAGATGGGAGCGGGCAGCAGAAAGACGAAAAACTAAAAATTTTTGATTTGTTGGGCGCATGCAATTGGCTGGTCATAAAAAAAAATGAACGGTCACCAACAGTCTTTCTTAAGCAGTCAATCAGTATTATTAGCCGGTAAACATCCGGGAAAACGTAAATCTCAATCCCATTGAACGTCATGGCAGATATTTGACATGTTATACAGAACATTAGTAAATAATAAAAAGCATAGATCTTGGTTTACATATTCTAAAAACAAGAATGAAATTTTTGTGCACCCTGCAAGATTTCTCAGAAACATGGTGCTGCCGTTACACCCTACAACAGGATTAATTAATTGGAAAAAAGTTTTATCAAGATTATCTGAGCGCGAAGCGTCTGGAATCCACTGAGGTGCATGATTAAGTGGAAAATTCGAGTACAACAAATGAAATCGTGCCAAGGCATCGATCACGACACTGAGCGACTCATTCATACAGAGAAAGAAAAATGGAGAAAAGTCTATATAGTCATGGATGCGGTACTATATCTTTCAACAATCTGTCGTTCTTTCCTTGGGTCTGATGAAATCCCAAGTAGCCTGTTCACATAGTGTCTTCGACCTAGCGAAGAAAATTTTCTGAATGAAATCTTTCCGCTTGCCAAACATAATTCAACTCTTAAGTACAAGCACCTAACAAGTCAAAGCACCTAACAAAGGGAAAGGAATCATATTTACCCCATATGTGTCTCATACAGAAAAAAATGAGACAGGTGACTCCATACGTAAAAACGTGAGGTGATTGTGTGAGATAAAGGAAAATTTAATTGATTTTATAGAAGTTGGTGGAAAGATAGGAGAATGTATTTCTTGAACGCATTGTAGAAAATTAGTGTCTTAATTGACACTTGATGGTTTAGATATTGGACAATGTCGGTGTCAGTCTTACGACAACGGGTCTAATATGGCTGGCATTTCTAAAACAGTACAAGCTAGAATTACAGAAATGAATAAGCTGGATGAATTTATGCCATGTTTGGCTCACTCCTCGTATTTTTGTCAGTACCCATTCTGCTTCTTCGTGCCCAGAAGCAGTTAATCTGTTTGGAATTACTCAGAAAATACTTCGCTTTTTTGTCGGACAGTATATTATTAAAAAATGTATAAAAAACAACTTAAAAGGAAGCAGCCAGACGAGATGGTCGGAAAAATATGTGGCTATGAAAGTGC